AGCACCCCAACTTCTCTTTCAGGTAACTGTCAGCAACACAACAGTAAATATCAACACGAAGCAGATTATTATTGTAGATCACCCAGGGAGAACAAAGGGTAAAATATTTAACTGCAGCAGTGTTTGACTATATTCTGCACAGTGAGAAAACCTGAAGTCATTTTCAAGGTCCACCATTTCTTACTTCTTTTCAGTCGGGTCAAGTTTCTAAACTTTCTAAATCTCCATTTTCAGGCTAATGAAAAGAATATAGGATTCCGAGAAACCTAGATGGCGGCATAGGTAAACACCGGAAATTGTTGCCTCGCACAACTACTTCAAAAATACAACTAAAAGACAAAACGGACACCATCCAGAACCACAGGAAGGCTGCCTGAGTGGAAATTCTACAACTAGAAGGAAAGAGAAAAGCACACTGAGACTCAGAGGAGGTGCGGAAGTAAAGTGCAGAGATACGGAGGCGCATGCGGAAAGGGCTGGCAACTGAGGACACGGTTGTCTTTTTCAATCAGGAGGGAGACACACGCTCCAGCTCTGAACTCCAGTTCCGAGCGAGTCTCTGGGGACCCAGACTCATACAGGGAGAAACTGGACTGTCTGGCAGCAGGCGGAACTTGAGGGCGGCTTTCTCTCAGAGGTGCTTGCAGCGATTACTGGGACACTGAGACCAAGGGCCTCTTAGGGCAGGACTGAGGAGCAGCCATAGCTGTTTGCTCCACCCTGTTGATTCCCTGAGACTCCGACCCACCCAAGCTGTGAGCAGAGGCTTTTGCATATGAATGGGCTGGCCCTCTGAGATCTAAAATTACCTAACAAACTGCAGCTGGGTCAGAGAGGCCCAGAACATCCAAAAGAAGGCTCAAGGCCCCACAGCAGCTTGCATTGCTTCACAGCTGGGCCTCATCTAGGCACCTCCAAACTCCAAACAAGGAAGAGGAATCTGCAGATCTCTCCGTAGCTCCTACTGGGTAGCCTCAGGCAGAGGCTAAATTAGCACCTCCTTAGAGATCCAAGAGCCTGTGTACCTAGTGGTCAGATTGGCACCATCCAGATTACAACTCCTCAGATCCATAAGGGACACACTCAGGGAGCAGACTCAGTGAGCACCAAAGCCCCACTGAAGCAAGTCTTGCCCCATAAGGGTGTCTCCAGCACAGAAGTTCTCCCACCATAACCACAGCTGATTCTCACAGACAACTGGCCTGGAGGTCAATTCCTCCCCGTGATACCAACAATAATCAAGACTGTGCACACAGCCCACAAAGGGGTGCACCAAGAGTGTCCACCTCAGGTAATTGGGGAGGCTGAGCCACTGGGCCCTATAGGACACCTAGCACACAAAGCCACTCTATCAACACAGGGAAGCATTAAAAATGTGGAGACAAAGAAACAAGTCACAAATGACAGAAATGGAGGAAAGCAAACTACTGGATATAGAGTTCAAAACCATGGTTATAAGGCTTTTCAAGAATTTTCTAGAAACCGCCGATAAATTTAGTGAGACCCTCGAGGATATGAAAAAGGACCAACTAGAAATTAAGCATACACTGACTGAAATAAAGAATAATATACAGAGATCCAACAGTAGACAAGAGGGTCCCAAGAATCAAGTCAAAGATTTGAAATATGAAGAAGCAAAAAACACCCAACCGGAAAACCAAAAAGAAGAAAGAATCCAAAAACATCAAGATAGTGTAAGGAGCCTCTGGGACAACTTCAAGCGTACCAACATCCGAATTATAGGGGTGCCAGAAGAAGAGAGAGAGCAAGATATTGAAAACCTATTTGAAGAAATAATGACAGAAAACTTCCCCTACCTGGTGAAAGAAATAGACTTACAAGTCTAGGATACACAGAGAACCCCAAACAAAAGGAATCCAAAGAGGACCACACCAAGACACATCATAATTAAAATGGCAAGAGCAAAAGACAAAGAGAGAATCTTAAAAGTAGCAAGAGAAAAACAGTTAGTTACCTACAAGGGAGTGCCCATACGATTGTCAGCTGATTTCTCAACAGAAACTATGTAGGCCAGAAGGAAGTGGCAATAAATATTCAAAGTGATGAATACCAAGAACCTACAACCAAGATTACTTTACCCAGCAAAGCTATCATTCAGAATTGAAGGTCAGATAAAGAGCTTCACTGATAAGAAAAAGCTAAAGGAGTTCATCACCACCAAACCAGTATTATATGAAATGCTGAAAGGTATCCTTTAAGAAGAGGAAGAAGAAGAAAAAGGTAAAGATATAAATTATGAACAACAAATACACATCTATCAGCAAGTGAATCTAAAAATCAAGTGAATAAATAATCTGATGAACAGAATAAACTGGTGAATATAATAGAATCAGGGGCATAGAAAGGGAATGGACTGACAATTCTCAGGGCGAAAAGGGATGTGGGGGGTGTGGGAAGAGACTGGACAAAAATCGTACACCTATGATGAGGACAGTGGGGGGGGGGTAGGGGCAGAGGGTGGGGTGGGAACTGGGTGGAGGGGAGCTATGGGGGGAAAAAAGAGGAATGTAATAATCTGAACAATAAAGATTTATTTTAAAAAATATATATATAAAAAAAAAGAATATAGGATTCCACTGAGTCACCTATATACCTACTCCAGGACTTCTGTGAGGATCAAATGAGATGAGGAATGGGGAAACACTTCAGACATTTGGTTAAAGCAGTGGTTCTCAACCTTCCTAATGCCGCGACCCTTTAATACAGCTCCTCATGTTGTGGTGACCCCCAACCATAAAATTATTTTTGTTGCTACTTCCTAACTGTAATGTTGCTACTGTTATGAATCGTAATGTAAATATCTGATATGCAGGATGTATTTTCATTGTTACAAATTGAACATAATTAAAGCATAGTGATTAATCACAAAAACAATATGTTATTATATATGTGTTTTCCGATGGTCTTAGGCAACCCCTGTGAAAGGGTTGTTCAACCCTCAAAGGGGTCGCGACCCGCAGATTGAGAACCGCTGGGTTAAAGTATAAAATGTTTGCACCTGGCTATAAAGCAAGACATGTTCCTGGGCTGAAGAAACTGCAAGGAGGCTAGCTGTCGCTAGGGAGCAGAAGCCAGTTTTTGCTACATGACATCATTACCCAGTGCCCTCAGCCACCATTTCCGGGCTAGGCTGGGCTGTGGGCCGCATTTTGCACCATGGGGTCTCAGCAGCCTCAGCTGTGATTTGGTGGGGTATTGCTCCGGGGTGGTGGCGGGGCCTATGTCCCACTTGGGGGAAGCCAAGTGTTGCTTTGTGGGTGCCAGGTCCATGGTGCCAGTGCGCGTCATGGAAGTTCCTGCGTTGAGCATCTGCCTCCTGGTGGTCAGTGCATGTCATAGCAACCAGTCGGACACTTAGCACATTAGCCTTATATATAGATGTCACCCAATAAATTCAATAAAATAAAAACTAAAAAGTATGAAATAATATGGGATAAATTAAAGAAATACTGCTGATTACTTCTTTCCACCTTTCTATATGGTTTGAGCTTTTATTTATTGAATATATATATATATATATATATACATATATATATGTATGTATGTGTGTGTGTGTGTGTGTGTATACATATATATATATATGTATACACACACACACACACACACACATACACTAGAGGTCCGGTGCATGGATTTGTGCACCGGTGGGTTCCTGAGTCTGGCCTGCACCCTCTCGCAATCCGGGACCCCTCAGGGAATGTCAAACTGCCGGTTTCGGCCCGATCCAACAGGCCAGCAGGGATCAGGATGAAACCAGCAGTCCAACGCCACCTGCCACTCCTGCGTGCCACTCCCACTCATCCTGGCCTGCTGCGCCTGCCACAGGCTCACACCCAGTCAGTCCTGATTGGGAGAGGCTCATGCCATGGCAGCAGCACTTGCCAGCCATGAACCCTGTGTCTGAGCTGAGCACCAGGGGGCAGCTCCTGGGTTGAGCATCTGCCCCCTGGTGGTCAATGCGCATCATAGCTACCAGTCAGACAGACACTTAGCATATTAGCCATACACACACACACACACACACACACACACACACACACACACTAGAGGCCCATGCATAGGTAGGGTCCCTAGGCCTGGCCGGCGATCAGGGCTGATCGGTGGGGCAACTGGCGGGACGATCGGGGGACCCCGCTGGCACCCGCCTTGGGTGGCCTGGGGCCTGCGGGCTGGGGGCAGCTCCTGCGTTAAGCATCTGCCCCCTGGTATTCAGTGCGTGTCATAGCATTCTGCCGTTCAGTCAATTTACATATTAGGCTTTTATTATATAGGATAGATTACAGTAACTCTTTGAAATTGGTACTAATAATGTTTTTAAATTATAGGTAAGGAAACTGGCAGTAGGTGATACCAACCAAGACAGTGAGTCCAAACCCCATGTATTCACCCACTGTGCAAACTGCTCTCCTTGAAGACTCCTAGGGACACATCCTCTAACTCTTACAGGGATAATTCTTATAATTACTTAAAATCTGCATCCTTGTGATTTCCTCACACAGTTTCTCTGGAGGACTGACATCACATTTATGATGATCTTTTTCTTAATGTGTATCAATTCACCACTGAGAATCAGATACTAAAATTTTTAGATTTTTAGAACTTTTAGAACTAAAAAAGGCTTTAGGTACAACTTGGTACCACTGTTTTATGGAAGAGTAATCAGGCCCTGAGAATTTTAAGTGATTTGTCCACAGTAATTAGTGGCAATCCAGTGCCCTGAAACAATGAAGTCATGAAGATTACATCACCTTCCCCAGAGAGAGTATAAACTCCCTGCAAAGAAGCAATGTGCTGAAAATAGAGAAGGAAAAATCAAATTTTGTGAATAACTGCGCCATAACAAAGTATTAGTTCATAAGGAACATAAAGAAAATTATTTTTTAAAATACTACCTTTATTTTTAGTTCCTTTTATACTGCTCTTTTAAACTAGGAAAAAGAACAATTTGATAAAAGAACCTAAGAGAATTTAATACTTACCCAATTATCATGTGCTTTTTTCTCATGAGAAATAATCTGAAAAAGAAAATCATTATAATACTACTGATAACTACTTTCCTTATATAAAAAACATTCACATCTACCACTATGATTTAGCACACAACTCATAAACTCAAAAATAACTCAAGCATCTCTGAAAAGTCAGTAACATATTAAAGCAAATTTTCATATACATATGCTCTACTCTACTCGTAAAACAAAACTGAATGTAATGACAACTGAACTCTATCTAGTATATTTCTATTTCATGCAGTAATTAACTACAATATGAGTTGCCAATTAAGAGACACTAGCTGGACTGAATATAAAACCCTAAAGCTTAGATACAGGGTGGGGCAAAAATAGGTTTACAGTTGTAAGTACACAACATAGTTAATAAATCTACTGTAATAATGATAACCTGCATGTCTTCCATACAAACACCTGTAAGCCTACTTCTGCCTCACCCTGTATGTTATTTGTTTATGCAATTCACATTCCCAAAGCAGCAGAAGACATGGCAACTTCAACAAGATCTCTTTTCCCAGAATCTCTGGCTCCCTAGAAATGTTCCACAGCCAAATGTAAAACTTTAAGAAAGGCATACAACTAGTCAATTAACTATATTCCTCATAAAAATAGATATAAATTCAAACAAATCAGAATTGTTTTAAGTTACACACACACACACACACACACACACACACACACACACACATACCTGCCCCTGATAAGAACGAATGGTTCTCTCCAATTCTTCTTCAAGATCTTTGGTTCGCTTTCTATAGGGAAGAAATAATCATTCTACTATTAACATATACTAAGAAATGATATAACACATGCTCTACTGGAAATATTAATTAAAGCACCTAGAATGCTTTTTTTCATGTAAAAAGAAAAAGTTCAGAACTCCACATGTTAACCACCTTTAAGAGGTTCTAAAGTATGTTTGTTCCTAATATAATTTTAAAATTAATATTTAAGAATGCTACTACTTGGGTTTACCCAAACCAAAGGTCTTAAAAAGATTTATAGGGTACATTGGTTGGTTAATTTTTATTTTTAAGAGGTATGATCTTGGAAGATTTACTCAGATGTCTTTAATCTTAATAGAACTATAGAAAATTAATGACCACTGTGAAATATAAGACTAACAAGATAATTCCTTCTTTTGGATAAGACTCAGCTTAAACTCCCTAATGGAAGTTTCATAACTATCTGGTATACTGCTGATAGACTTATCATCTTACAAACACTTTTTCAGAACTTTACTTGTGGCATAACTTCTTCTTGTGGCATAATTCTTAAATTCATTAATACTGTATACATTCTTCCACATTTGTAGCAAAGAGGAAAGATTTTTTTAAATTAATGGCTATTCACAATTTTCTTGACATTAAAATACAATAGGGTTGCCCATGTTCAAATATAATTAATGTGAGAGATTTAAAATCTCACATACTGAAAGAAAAGCATTTTTCCTTTTTAAAATTTCTGTGTAATTGTATTACAGCAACACATCTAAAATCAGGAAACAAAATCAGGAAACAAAAATACATTTTTTAATTTTTTGTTGTTATTGCTATATTATTTTTTCTGATATTGAGCTTTTGGATACCATCCCCACCGCAAAAAGAAAGGGGTAAGCCCAGATGGGGTAGCTCAGTGGTTGAGCGTCAACCCATGAACTAAGAGGTCACCGGCTCGATTCCTGGTCAGGACACATGTCCAGATTGTGGGCTCAATTCCCAGTAGGGGGTGTGCAGGAGACAGCCGATCGCCATTTCTCTCATTGTTTCTACCTCTCTATCCCTCCCACTTCCCCTCTCTCTAAAATCAATGAAAAGGAAGGGGAAGGGGAAGGGGAAAGGAAAGGGGAAGGGGAAAGGGAAAGGAAAGGTGAAGGGGAAGGAGAGGGAGAGAGGTACAATATATTTAATACCTATAGGTCTCCAGCTCTTCAGCTGCATGGCTGATCTTTTCATCTGCTTTAGAAAGTTTTTCCTCTTTCTCTAACCGGTAATTTTCTTCTACTGTTAATTTCCTTAAAAAAAATGTGTTTTATTTCTTTTATTATATGTCATAAAATAACCAATCTTATCTCTTTAATTGTGTCACAACTGGTGCTTCCCATAAAGCAATTTGCATAATACCATTAAGAACATCACATGCAAGAAAAAACAAAGTACCTGTGTAAGTATTTCTGGCATGGAATTTAATATTACAAACTCAAGTTATAAAGCTTCGTCTAATAACAGTACTATTAATATAAAAGTTTCAAGAGTTTTCTATAAGAACTAGAGGCCCGGTGCATGAAAATTCATGCACACGGGGGTTCCCTCAGCCAGCCTGCGCCCTCTCACAGTCTGGGACCCTTGGGGGATGCCCACCTGCTGGCTTAGGCCTGCTCCCTGAGAACAGATGATCTAAAAGAAATAATCATATCCTTGGATAAGGATTTTTTTAAAAGGCAATGGGCACATGAAAATTCATTGCTGGTGGGGCTGAGGGGACTGCGGGACTTCAGCGGCAGATGCGCAGTGCGGCTGGGCCTGGTTGGAGGCGGGCCCAGCTGCGCCGTGCACCTGCCACCCGTCCCCCACCCCATGGGGCTGAGGGGACTGGGCGTCGCCATCTTGTGGCTGTGAGCATCGCCATCTTGTGAGGGTGTGGCAGTCAATTAGCATATTTCCTCTTTATTATATAGGATTCATCATAAAATTAAGATTATCAAAAATAAATGTTAATAAAAATTATTATGACTGTTACTTATGAAGACTTCTTATATAAAGAAGCATTATATTTATTAGACAAGAAGTCACCAACTAATGAACTGTTTCAATAATATTTAAGTTGGTTGTTAAGTTGTAAAATATTGATTCGTCTTCCAGGCCAACTCACCAAAAAAAAAAAAAAAGAAGAAGAAGCACGAGAAACTAAGTAACTGAACCAAGGCATAGAGCTAGCAAGTAGTAGTTCCATTATACTAAATCACCCAAATTGTTTCACATGGTATCATTAATAACATTGGTCCCTCAAGAAATAGTGAACATCACAGGAAAACACATTTGGCATCCTAACAATGAATGTCTCCCCTTCTTCATGAACTTTGGGGAGGCACATGATAAAAAAAATGAAAAAAATTCTATAAGGCAGCCATAAATGTTTTATATTCTACACACTCTATTACCTATTGCTTAGGAAGCACTCCCCACCCAAGTCAATGGTTTCACAGGTGTAAGAAAATAAAAGTCATTGCCTTAGGAAAAGCATAAAAGTGTAATTGGTTTAAAGATGAAGAGAAATGCTTTCACAAGCTTTGGCCAGTTTTGCTCAGTGGTTAGAGCGTGGGCCCACACACCCAATGGTCAAGGGTTCAACTCCAGTCAAGGGTACATACTTGGGTTGCAGGTTGGATCCCCGGCCACGGTCAGGGTGTGTGTGGGGGACAACCAGTCGATGAGTCTCTGTTACATCCATGTTTCTTTTTCTCTCCCTCCCTTCCACTTTCTCTAAAAATTGATGGAAAAAAAATATCCTCAGGTGAGGATTTAAAAAAAAAAAGGCCTGGCTACTGTAGCTCAGTGGCTGACAGTCTACCTATATATCAGGAGGTCACAATTCGATTCCCAGTCAGGGCTCATGCCCAAGTTGTGGGCTCAATCCCCAGTAGGGGGTGTGCAGGAAGCAGCAAATCAATGATTCTCTCATCACTGATGTTTCTATCTCTCTCTCCCCCATCCCTTCCTCTGTCTGAAATCAATTAAAATATATATATATGCTTTTACGGACTGCAGATTAAAAATGGCCAGAAATTCTTTGACACCCCTCCCACTGAGAGGTAGTCTATGAACCTTCCCCTTGAATTTGGGTGGGCTTATTAATGATGAAAAAATTACAATGTGAAAGGAAACACAACAATATAACTAAAAAACAATCACATTTTCACATATTAAAGCAACACATCAAGCTTCTATACTATTTCACTTCTCTTCAATACTATATTTTTGAAAAGTGCTAGCAATGCAATATATCAGTAGTAAAAAACATCAATCCAGGATTTAGAAAATGACTCAATCACACTGTATACAGGCAAAATTTTTAAATTAACATTTTATTAGTACTATCAACTGTCCATATTCTCCTCTGAAGAACAACTAGTGTCATAATTCACTGAATTTGAGTAGTGAATATATTAATTTAAATGTAAGAATGGAATATACAGTATTTTGGGAATTCAAAGCATTTCAAACTAATGAATGAAATCACAATGTGAACAACCCATATACAGCTAGGATTCTATTTAGCTTCCCATTCTTACTTTGAGTATATACAGAAGTTTTTTCTTTGAAATTTTAAACATTACTCATTAAAATTCTGTAATTTATCATATTTTTGTCCAAAAAAAACACTTAAAAGTATTTCTTTCACCTCAATCCCTTATATCTTCAAAGGCCCTGAGGTAATGTACTTAGCATGCTAAAGATCATCAAGAAGACTAGTGTGGCTATAACATGGTGAGAGAAAAAGAAAACAAGCTAAAATTAAAGAGGTAGCCAAGGGCCAGGTTTTGTAGGGTCTTATAGGCCATGATAAAGCTTTGGATTAAATTCTGAGTGTGATATGAAGGCACCTGGAGGTTCTAAACAAGAGAGTAACAATACTCATTATTTTTAGAAGGGTCATGCTACGGAAGTCAGAGCAGGAAGTTAAGAATATAAAGAGACACCACTCATGATGCTACGGCAATAAGCCAGATACTAACGTATGATGGCTTGGATCAGGACAGTGGTTGGCAAACTGCGGCTCGCGAGCCACATGCGGCTCTTTGGCCCCTTGAGTGTGGCTCTTCCACAAAATACCGACTTCTGCCCATGGGCCACGAAGTTTCAATCACACTGTACATGCGCGCCCGCACATGGTATTTTGTGGAAGAGCCACACTCAAGGGGCCAAAGAGCCGCATGTGGTTCCCAAGCCCAATTTTTCCCCCCCATGGGTTATACAAAAAGGTAAAAAGTACTAAGCCGAATTCAGGATACAGGAAAGTTGACAGAATTTGAGGATAGAATAAATATGGGATATAAAAGAGAGAAGTCACCCTGGCTGGTGTGTTAAGTGGTTAGAACCTTGACCCTCGCACCAAAAGATCACAGCTCAATTCCTAGTCAAGGGCACATACTTGAATTACAGGTCTGATCCCTGGCCCTGGTCAGGGCACGTGCGGGAAACAACCAATCAATGTGTCTCTCTCACATCAATGTTACTGTTTCTCTCTCTCTCTTACCCGCTCCCTCCTATTCTCTCTAAAAATCAATGGAGCCCAGTCAGCATGGCTCAGTGGTTGAGCGTCAATCTATGAACTCAATCTATGAACTGGGAGGTCCCGGTTCCGTTTCTGGGCAGGGCACACGCCTGGGTTGTGGACTCAATACCCAGTGTGGAGCGTGCAGGAGGCAGTCGATCAATGATTCTTTCTCATCATTGATGTCTGTCTCTGTCTCTGTCTCTCTCTCTCTCTCTCTCTCTCTCTCTCTCTCCCCCCTTCTCTGAAATCAATAAAAATATATTTTAAAAAATAAAAATAAAATAAAATAAAAATCAATGGAAAAAATATGCTCAAGTGAGGATTAACAAAACAAACCGAAAAAAAAAAAGAGAGAGGTCAAGGATGGCTTAATCAGCTGCCATGATCAACTCAGTAAGTAACACTGCCATTTACTGAGACAAGGGTCAATTTTGCAGGAGCAATTTACACAGGAGAAAGGAATCAGTTTTACATATATCAGAGATGGAATTAATGGATAGAGTGCAATTACTAGGATGTCCACCCAGATTCCCTGACCTAGCTTACAGTATTAGGAACTTTAATTAGCAATAATTTGCTGATTAACTGTAAGAAGTTAAAAAGGATTTTGTGAACTAGTCTGCAAAGTCCAATATCATTTACACATTTTCTTCTTTGAAGAAAAAGTATTTCAAGATCAAATAACTTTCTTTAAAAATTGCCAAAACCGGTTTGGCTCAGTGGATAGAGCGTCTGCCTGCGGACTGAAGGGTCCCGGGTTCGATTCCGGTCAAGGGCATGTACGTTGGTTGCGGGCACACCCCCAGTGGGAGATGTGCAGGAGGCAGCTGGTCGATGTTTCTCTCTCATCGATGTTTCTAACTCTCTATCCCTCTCTCTTCCTCTCTGTAAAAAAATCAATAAAATATATTAAAAAAAAAATTAATTGATGAGCCCTAGCCAGTTTTCTCAGTGATTAGTGTCAGCCTGCAGACTGAAGGGTCACAGGTGAAATTCTAGTCAAGGGCATGTACCTCAGTTGCAGGCTCGTTCCCTGGCCCCAGTCAGGGTGGACGAGGTTAGCAACCAGTCGATGTCTCTCTCTCACATCAATGTTTCTCTCTCTGTATCTTTCCCCCTCCCTTCAATTCTTCCTAAAAAATCAATGAAAAAAACATCCTCTGGTGCCCAGCCAGTGTTGCTCAATGGTTAAGCATCAATCCATGAACCAGGAGGTCATGGTTTGATTCCCAGTTAGGACACATGCCTGAGATGCAAGCTCCATCCCCTGGTAAGGGGCATGCAGCCGATTGATGATTCTCTCTCATCGTTCATGTTTCTATCTCTCTCTCCCTCTTCCTTCCTCTCTCTGAAATCAGTAAAAATGTATTAAAAAATACATATACTAGAGGCCCGGTGCATGAAAATCCATGCACTGGAGGGGGGGGGTCCCTAAGCCCAGCCTGCCCCCGCTCATAGTCCAGGAGCCCTCAGGGGTGGGAGGCGACCCGGTGATCAGGGGAAGGCGACATCCCATCACACCTCTGCTGCTGCCACTGCCGGCAGCACAAGCCTCAGCCGGCCCTGGTTACCTGAGCCTCGGGCCGGCCCTTGGCGGCTGGGGGGCTGAGGGGACTGGGTGCCGCCATCTTGTGGCTGTGGGCACCACCATCTTTGAGGGCAAGGCAGTCAATTAGCATATTCCCTCCTTATTGACTTGGGCGCCGCCATCTTTGCGACAGCATGAGGGTCAATTAGCATATTCCCTCTTTATTAGATAGGATACACACACACACACACACACACACACACACACACACACACACATAATCTCTAGTGAGGATTAATAAAAAAAATGAATTGATGAAGTATAATCCAATCGTAAACAGAACTTCGGCTAATCACATAAACTTTACATCAGTGGTTCTCAACCTTCCTAATGCCGCGACCTTCTAATACAGTTCCTCATGTTGTGGTGGCTCCCAATTTCATTGTTACAAATTGAACATAATTAAAGCATAGTGATTAATCACAAAAACAATATGTAATTATATATGTGTTTTCCAATAGTCTTAGGTGACCCCTGTGAAAGGGTTGATCGACCCCCAAAGGGGTCGCAACCCACAAGTTGAGAACCGCTGCTTTATATGCAATATTTCATTTGCCATTCAATGAAGATATCAACATATATTTTATTACCTATGAAGTGTCATTTCATTTTCTTGATATAGTTCAGTCATTACTTTAAGTTTGTGCTGAAGCTTTTGATTCTCATTTTCAAGATGTTCATTTTCTGGCTGCAAACATGCTTGTTCAGTCTGGATATTTTTAATACACTCTATGGAAAGATTTTAGAAGTCAAAATCAAACGTTTTGAGTTGCATATTAACATTTCATACAGATAAAAATTACCAAAAATAATTAATTACTAATAAACAATATTCTTTCCAACAACAACAGAAAATCTGTAAGGTATTTTTAAATTTACACCTGTTGACTTAAGCTTTAAACCATTGCCAGGAAAAGTCACTTAACAGATAATAATGATGGATATTAACTTTATTAAAATTGGATCATCCCTATTTAAAAAACACACAATAAACCAATACTTAAATCTTCATTATATCTTTGTACTTCTATTATAACTATTTTGTTTGTTTCAAATCCTCTGTATCTTAAATGATTACCAAAGAGGGAAAGCAGTTTAGAAGAAAACCTTCATGTTATGAACAGAGAAAAACAATTGTAGGAATTTATCTCTCATGATCCATTAAATAAAGAAAGTTACATTTGGAAGGCGGGTACAAGCAGACACAGTTTCCAAATACTAGTTTTAGAAAACAATAAAGATTTGCCAAGCAATTCTTTGCATTAAGGGATGGGATAACTGGTGAGTAAATTCCTTGGTATTCTGGCACTTACTGCATAGTTCCACACTGAGAGTCTGTTAATACTGTATACTGAAATGCAGCTTCCTTGAAAGCAGGCTCCCTATCTTTTCCTCCAGAGACTTTCCCATGGCTTTTAGTACTATGCATTACATATAGCAAACCTTTAAAAGTTAATACTACTTTTCAAAATATAAAAATATTCCAACTATCAATACTATGTGAATGAATCTATGATCTTTTGATCATTTTTTTAATAATCTGTACCTTTTGGATAGTTCAACCTTTTCATCTTTTATTTTCTAAAGCTTATTTCAGGAGCGAGGGGTGTATCCCAAGTAGTGGTAGAGTAACCACTAGGTGATTCAACCTTTTCAAAAAATGTTTTATTATAAATATAATTCACTTATTGTAGAAATTTTTGAAAATACAGATAAGTGAAAAAAAAAGAGAGAAATCTTTCCGTAATTCCATATTCAACGATAACCATTGTTGACATGAGTATGCCCTTCCATTCTTTTTTTATGCAAATTGTTATGATGAAATTATTATTATTTTTTTAATATATTTTATTGATTTTTTTACAGAGAGGAAGGGAGAGGGATAGAGAGTTAGAAACATCAATCAGCTGCCTCCTGCACACTCCCTACTGGGGTTGTACCCGCAACCAAGTTACATGCCCTTGACCGGAATCGAACCTGGGACCCTGGAGTCCGCAGGCTGACACTCTATCCACTGAGCCAAACCAATTAGGGCATTAAATTATTTTTTTAATTGATTTCAGAGAGAAAGGGAGAGGGAGAAATAGAAACATCAATGATGACAGAGAATTATTGATCAGCCGCCTCCTGCATGCCTTCCACTTGGATCAAGCCCACAACCCCGGGCATGTGTCCTGACCGGGAATTGAACTGTGACCTCCAGGTTCAGGTCCACTGAGCCATGCCAGGTGGGCGAAAAAAAAAAAATTTTAATATAATGGTATGTTACTTATATCAACTATTTAATAAAAATAAAAATGTTTCACCCTAGCTGGTTTGGCTCAGTGGATAGAGCGTTGGCCTGCAGACTGAAGGGTCCCAGGTTCGATTCCAGCCAAGGGCACATGTCTGGGGTGCGGGCTTGATCCCCGTTAGCGGGCAAGAAGGAGGCAGCCGATCAATGATTCTCTCTCATCATTAATGTTTCTCTCTCCCTCTCCCTTCTTCTCTAAAATCAATAAAACATATTTTAAAAAAATAAAAATAAATAAATAAATAAATAAAAATGTTTCAATAAAAAAAAACCCCTCCCATTCTACATGTCTAAGAGCACTCCTGCATGTGCTAATATACTATGCATGTACATTAAAATTTACTATAAACAGACCTGTAAAATATACCACTGATGGTCAATTTTGCAATTAAAAGATTTTTTTTAAGTTTTAATTTGCTACTTTTTAGTATCTCAAACCATACCACACACATTACACTGAAATTCAAACGTAACTATGGTTTTACATGGCTTTTTAAGTAATTTCATTATTTTAATTTTATATAAATACTAGAGGCCCAGTGCACAAAAATTTGTGCACTCGGGGGGGTGGGGAGGGGGGTCCCCCAGCCCGGCCTGTGCCCTCTCGCAGTCTGGGACACCTCGGGAGATAACGACCTGCTGGCTTAGGCCTGCTCCCAGGTGGCAGAGGGCAGGCCCAATCCCTAGGTGCAGCCCCTGGTCAGGCTCAGAGCAGGGCCGATTGGGGAGTTGGGGCGCCACCCTGTCATGCACAGAGCAGGGCGGATTGGGAGGTTGCAATGCCACCCTCAGTCACGCTCAGGGTAGGGCCGATTGGGGGGTTGGGGCACCACCCCCTGTCACACTCAAGGCAGGGTCGATGGGGAGGTTGCGGCGCCACCCCGTCACGCACAGAGCAGGGCCAATCAGGGGGGTTGGGGCTCCGTACCCTGTCACACACAGAGCAGGGTCAATCAGGGGGTTGGGGAGCTCCCCCGTCACGCACAGAGCAGGGCCGATCAGGGGGGTGGGGCGCCGCCAATGTCACACTCGGGGCAGGGCCGATGGGGAGGTTATGGCTCTACCCTGTCACACACAGAGCAGGGCCCGTGGGGGGGTGGGGGTTGGGGCGCCGCACCCTGTCACACACAGAGCAGGGCCGATCAGGGGGTTGGCGCGCTGCACCCTGTCAAACACAGAGCTGCAGGGCAATCAGGGGATTGGGGAGCTCCCCCCTATCAGGCACAGGGCAGGGCTGATCAGGGGGTTGGGGCGCCGCCCCGTCACACACAGAGCCGCAGGGCGATCAGGGGGTTTGGGCGCTGCCCCCTGTCACGCTGATCCCGGTGCCGGGAGCCTTGCTGTTCCACTAATCCCGGTGCCGGGAGGCATATTACCCTTTTACTATATAGAATAGAGGCCTGGTGCATGGGTGGGGGCCGGCTGGTTTGCCCTGAAGGGTGTCCTGGATCAGGGTGGGGGTCCCCACTGGGGTGCCTGGCCAGTCTGGGTGAGGGGCTGAGGGCTGTTTTCCGGCTGGCGAGTGACTGAAGCTCCCAACCACTCTTGTTTTCTTTTTTTTTTTTTTATTCTGGGCCAGCTTTAGCTCTGAGGCCTCGCTGCTGAAAACATCGATACAATGTTGCGGTCCAGCTGGCTTTCAGTCTGGCTGGTTTCTGGGGTTTTGTTTAGCTTCTTATTTGCAACATAGTACATAGTTGCTTAGAGTTGCAGCTGAGAGGCTGGCAAGTTAAGCGGGGAACGTTGGAGTCCGCAGTCACTGAAGCAAGCAAGCCTCCCTGCTCGCTTCAGTGCATGGCTGCCGGCCGCCATCTTGGCTGACAGTTAATTTGCATAAGGATATGCTGATTAGCCAATGGGAAGGGTATCGGTCGTATGCTAATTACCATGTTTCTCTTTTATTAGTGTAGATGGAGGAAACTGCCCTAGCCAGTTTTGCTCAGTGGATAGAGCGCTGGTCTGCGGACTGAAGGGTCCCAGGTTCGATTCCAGCCAAGGGTATATGCCCAAGCTTGATCCCCAGTAGGGGGTGTGCAGGAGGCAGCCAATCAATGATTCTCTCTCATCATTGATGTTTCTATCTCTCTCTCCCTCTCCCTTCCTCTCTAAAATCAATAAAGATATACATTTAAATAAATAAATAAGTAAATAAATACATACATACATACATACAACAAATAACTCAGGACTAATTTTTTACAAATAAGAAACAAAAGTAAAGAAAATAAGCAACAAATTGCACCTTCCCATAATTGGTTCAATTCATGGTACCATTCTCTATAACGAGATGTAATTATTTAGAAAAACATTAAAAGTATGTAGATTACCTACCTGTAAGATCTTCCTTTGTTTTATCTACTTCAGTTAATTGAGTGTATATTTGGTTTCTTTCTCCTTCTAGGGTTTTTAAAGAAGCCTTTAACTTCAAAGAATGGGAGAAGGAAAAAAGCAACATTAATCTCAATATACCATCCCAGCCTTTTGAAGCTCTTTTAACACTTTGATAAAATTATTGCCTAGAACAGTGGTTGGCAAACTGCGGCTCGTGAGCCACATGCAGCTCTTTGCCCCCTTGAGTGTGGCTCTTCCACAAAATACCGACTTCTGTGCAAGGGCCACGAAGTTTCAATCGCACTGTACGTGTGCACCCGCACGTGGTATTTTGTGGAAGAGCCACACTCAAGGGGCCAAAGAGCCGCATGTGGCTCGCGAGCCACAGTTTGCCGACCACCAGCCTAGAATATACTAACAATTCAGCTTACACCTTAGAAAGTTAGCAAAGTCACCAATAGTTGTAAATTTCAGGACAGGGAATGAGAAGATCAGGGATGGATGCTTAAACTGTGGCTACTCTCATTTTACTTATTTTCAACATATAAGGTTTTTTAAATTTTTATTTATTGATTTTAGTGAAAGAAAGGAAGAGGGGAGAGAGAGGAAGAGAAAAACGCCAATTTGTTGTTCCACTTATTTATGCATTCACTGGTTGATTCTTGTATGTGCTCTGACAGGGGATTGAACCCACAACCTTGGCATATAGGGACAACGCTCTAACCCATCTAGCTACCTGGTCAGGGCTTCAATATATAAGTTTGATTAAAGTACTCTTTAAACATTACCAAAACTTCTCAAATAAGGTAAAGACCAGGATACCACTATTAGGATGAAAAAAAGGGATAAACCAGAAGAAAGTGAAATTAAGTATTTACTTCTTAAAATAGAATATTGGGGCCCTGGCAAGTATGCTCAGAGGTTAGAGTGTCAGCCCACAGACCGAAGGGTTGCGGGTTCAATTCCCGGTCAAGGGCATGTACCTCAGTTATAGGTTCCCCAGTCCCAGTAGGGGCGAGTGTGGGAGGCAACCAATCAGTGTGTCTCTCTCACATGATGTTTCTTTCTCTTTCTTTCCCCTTTCTCTCTCCCTCCCACCTTCTCTGGAAATCAATGAGAAAAATATCCTTGGGTGAGGATTAAAATAAAATATATATTGAGACCAGAGGAAGAGAAATGCTCAAAGAGAAATTAAAGAAAATAGAGTAAACATTTTTAATATATGCAGACTTTGAAAATTTTTGTTATGATAAATTCTAAAAATTAACAATATGAATTTCTAAAGTTATTATAAAAGAGAAAAAAGCAACTGATGAAGATAATTCTGATCACTACTGAAAATTCTGATCACTTATCTGTTAACTATAAAATGGACTTTAAAAATAGTTACTGAAGATATATGGATTTATTCCATGTTCTATTTTCTTTTTTTTTTTTATATTTATGTAGTAATGCAAACCTTAGCAGCATGAATCAGCTTCCTCAAAGCCCCTTTTGGTTCATTATCTATTATAAAAAACAAAAACATAACAATAAAAAGCAATGTCACAAGAGAGGTCTAAATGATTTTATTAATTCACTCAATTAGAGCCTCATAATCCCTCTTCTTGCTACAATAATGAATTTGGTATAAGGCGGAATGGCCTTGGACTTGCAGGTAGAAAGTTAAACCGTAAAAGCACTGATAGTACCACAACATCAATTAACAAGGTTCTTCATCATTAACTCCAAGAACAAAGTTACAGTCAGTCCCACAGTCGGGACTATTCTTGGGTTCTTTCACCATATAAAATATGACTGGAATTATACTTCAAATTAAAATAACATTAAACAAGCACGAGTTTTCTTATTAGAAACATTTATTTCTTACAAAATAAAGCGGAACAGAAAAAGTACAAACAAAACTGTATGTATTTACTTTGGAAGTATAACTTTCCTTCAACACATGGTGATCAAGAAATTTTTTAATCATAACTTCTCCTTAATAAATTTTTTAATTATGCAGGGGTAAAGAGACAGAAAAGAGAAAGGATACAAAAGTCAGAAAAATTATCATTAGTGGAAACTAGATTGGATATACATAAGACCTCTCTGTACTCCTTTGCAACTTCCTATGAATCTACTATTATGTCAAAATACAAAAAAAATTTTTAGTCAAAGGAATTAGTTGAGAATACAGTGAGTAACTGGTAATCATAACTTTTTCCTGAGTTTAGAGACTGTAAGCAACAATACCAATAATAATTTGGGATGGCCAAGATTAAAGTACTATAACCATCTGAACTATCTAAATAAAGAAAAAAAAAGTGTCCTGAGGTATTTATCTACTAGAGGCCCAATGCACGAAATTTGTGCAAAAGTAGACCTTCCTTTCCCCAGCTGCCAACACCAGCTTCCCTCTGGCACCCAGGAACCGGGCTTCCCTCGCAGCCCCGGCTTCGTCCGGGAAGGACATCCAGAGGTAGTTTGGCTGTATGATCTAATTAGCATATCACGCTTTTATTATTATAGAAGATACTAGAGGCCCGGTGCACAAAAATTTGTGCACTCGGGGGTGAGGGGGGGGTCCCTCAGCCCGGCCTGTGCCCTCTCGCAGTCTGGGACCCCTTGGGAGATAACAACCTGCTGGCTTAGGCCCGCTCCCAGGTGGCAGAGGGCAGGCCCAATCCCTAGGTGCAGCCCCTGGTCAGGCTCAGAGCAGGGCTGATTGGGGAGTTGGAGCGCCACCCCCTGTCATGCACAGAGCAGGGCGGATCGGGAGGTTGCAATGCCACCCTCAGTCACGCTCAGGGTAGGGCCGATTGGGGGGTTGGGGCACCGCCCCCTGTCACACTCAAGGCAGGGTCGATGGGGAGGTTGCGGCGCCACCCCCTGTCACACACAGAGCAGGGCCCATCAGGGCGGGGGGCTCCGTACTCTGTCACGCACAGAGCAGGGTCGATCAGGGGGTTGGGGAGCTACCCCCCTGTCACGCACAGAGCAGGGCCGATCAGGGGGTGAGGAGC